AAGCACTGCCAGTTACCTAGCAATCCCGGCTAGGTAAATGGCTAGCGACTGGATTGAATTGACTTTTTTTATAAAGTGCTTTCAGATGAAGTGAAATTACATTTTCACATTCCGGTGTTTCAGAAAATTCTGATTAAATAAAGGACTGAACCTCTTTTCCAGTACACAACGCTCTTGTCGGAAAGGATCTGGTCTTTAAAGTGTGCTCAAAGCAAACAGCAGCTTCTCTGCACTGTAACTGTTCATTTAGAATCAGATATCATGAATGCATTTATGCTAAGACATATTCATATTTATTTCTGTTTATATAAATAAATTAAAGAGTTTGTACAATCCAGATTGCTGCACAATCCAACACAGATTACTGATCACAACTCTTAAAAATGCTGCAACAATTAGAGACGTGGATCTTTCAGTGTCTGGCGCTTTGACTCATCAAAGATTCAAAAATCTGGTGCTTCATGAATCGTTCAATGCATAGGAATCATTCCTATGATAAAAATAATAAAACGATAAAATGATTTTTTTCTATGATTCAGTTCAGAAACTATTTTTACTTCAGAAACCAAATGTTCTAAAAGATTTTTGTTTAAATTAAAAATTGTAAACAAATACAAAATGCATTTTAAACAATTCAGTAAGGTGCCTTGCAACATCAAACTCCATCAGTTTATATTTAAACAAAAATAAGTTTGTTTTAGGTGACATTAGGTGTCTTTTCTTGGAGAAAATTATCAAAGAATTATTCAAAATATAATTTCACAAAAAAGTGAGCAGAATAAAATCGATTCTCTAAAGAAAATAATTTTTCCTGCACAAAACCCATCGCGACAGCCGACTCTTGGAAAACGAGCATAAATGTCCCAGATTTTCTTCCAGTCAACAACTTTAAAGTTGCTTAGACAGACGACCCCAAATCACCTGGATAATCTCTTCTCCACCTACGTTTGAATTTCAGCTCCATCTGCTGTTATTAGATGAACAGTAGCGACTGAGAGCAAACCGCCTGGTAGTTAAAGTCGAGGCGCGGTAAGTGGGGAGGTGACTGAGAGGAAAACAGCCGCTGAAAACATCGTGATGTCGGGCAATAAACTGCGGAGCTGAAGGAGCCGTTAACTTCCCCGGGCCCCTCAGGATGATTCTCTCCCTGGTTTGAAAGGAAAACTGTGATGATTGTGTGAAGCAAAGATGCAGTGAGAGCCGCCGTCCCTGTTAACGTTGTTAGTGTCAGGCGTGCTGGGGGTGCTCTCCATCACTGCGGGTCACAGCGGTCTGGAATCAGACACATTAGAGCGAGCTGCTGGCCCTGGACGCTGGGCTTTGGCTCTGATGGTGGGAGAGCTGGGAGGCAGCTGCTGCTGGGCGCTCACTGGAGATCAATGTGGAGGCTGCGCTCAAGTGCTGGGCAATAATTGAAAACATACATCAAGTTTTGAGGCACAAAATCTGAAATGTTTGCTTTGCTTTAGTTTGGTGGACTCAACTGTTTGGCATCGTGCAAACAGATGATCAAACTTTTTCTCCTACGGGGCCGTTTTTAGGTATGCACTGGCTGATCGTTTTGTGATCAATACTGGTGTGAAACTGATCTTATCCACTGTGTTTTCTACCTTCACCAGGCTGCGTTTGACAATAGTCAGCGTATCGATCCCAACTTTGCAATTATTTTCTTGTGTTCATTTCAGTTTCTTAGATTTTTACACAATTGATCTGGTTTTTCTTTCTTTTCTGCATCCAAAAGTTTCAAACAGATTCGTTGTATTTGCTTGTTTCTGGTACGCCCATAAACCTGACGCACAGGCAACAGCAGCGATGGACCTGGATTATTAAAATGATCCGCCTCCAAGCTCCAGTAACTTATTCCTGACCAGGCCGTGTGTTCTGGACGGTTGATTATTTCTCTGTGTGTTTTTTTTTATCTTATAATTTCAGATTTTTTTCCAGGTTGACTTGAAAAGTGAACTACTGCAAATGTTAGGGACGCACAGATATGAGAATTTGGGTTGATAAAGATATTTACTAATATCTTTTTATATGTTTTATTCAATTACTTGATTAATCATCAGAATAATATATAGATTACCTGTTTACTAAAATTATAGTTTGAAACAGCATCTTTGTTCCTCTTTCACAAGCGAATGTTGGGTCTGACTTGATCCTAAATTACTGCAGAGAGAAACACGGAGGGGTTCTGGGAGGAAGCGGGTCTGAACTGGTTTTAATGGTGGCTCCTCTCTCCCTCTCTCTGTGCCGTCGGTTTATGTTTCTCAGAGAGACGGCAGCAGATTTCAAAATTCAATCTCCATGCAAACTAAGGAGGAAGATTGCTTTCTGCTGTTTAATGCCGCTACGTTCGCTGTAATTGGCTACAAACAGACTCACGTCAACATAAACGGATGCATTTTGATGTATTACTGATATTTTACATGATTAAAAACCCGAAGCTCAACAAGTTTTTAACGAAAAAATATTTCCGACGCCCGACAGGATTTCTTTTTATGTTTGTGAAATGCTTTCAGGACTGAAGCAGCTGACAGACTTCAAAAATTATTTAAATTCAGCTTTTCTGTAAACAGAGAGGAGAAACATTCCCTCATTTTCAAAGGCGTTTTAAAAACGGCCAAATCTGCTGTGATTGTGCTCCATATCAGATTGTGTAAGGATCATTTTCCTGCATATTTTATTTTTTCCTTTTATCAAAAATTTGGAGGAGCTATGAGAACAATTTAACCCGCAGTCGTCCTTTCCCTGATCCAGTTCTGATAACATTTTGGAGCAAAATCAGTAAAATATTTATGTGTTTCATGAAAACTGATACTCTTATTAAATTTTTCTGAGATATTTGATTAAAACTGCTTGAAAAAACCTACATGCAGAGGTTAAAAAATCCAGGTTATGAGTAAAAAGTTCTACACTGAAGCACAAAGTGAACTCTTGTGCAGTAATATCTTTAAATATCTGCAGAGAGAAGCCGTCGGAGTGGATTTGTTGTGGCAGGACGGTTACGGACGACCTCGCCTCGACCCGGGCATGAATAAATCACACGAGTTCAAGTGCAGTGCATGCATGCATCTCTGCAGCTGCGGCACCTTAGCGACTCTTTGAACCATTAAATTAAAGCAAAGTCAAACTGAATGTTTAGTTTTCACCTAAATATGCTTTACCTGCTGCTGCAGAGACCTAGCGCTAGCTTAGAGCGCTTTGATTTGTGGCGGCGCCTCTGCAGGCGTAATTAGCTCGCTGTAAGTAACGTTCGCCCAGCCGGCGTCCATCACTTCTCCACCCAAACCTTTCCACTCTGCTAATTCCCCTCCGACAATAGCAGCAGAATCATTTCTCCGTCGGCTCGGGCTCCACCAAAAAGTGACTGGGAAGTAATTTTGGTCAGGGGAAAATGAGCACATTAGAGCGTAATGCTCGGCTCGGGGAGTAAATGTTATTGGTGTCAACAGAAGAGAGGCATGTTGAGATAACGTGATGAGGAGGAAGGCAGGAAGTCGACACAAACATGGGATTCAAGAAAAATATGGTCGTGTTTCCTCACCTGGATGAAACATCGCAGCTTATAAATAAATCTGAACTGACTTCCATCAAGACATAATGAAAAGGAACAATATGGCCTCCGAGCCGATGTTTTTAGACATGAAATCTCATAAGAGACTGAACCGTATGAAGTCTGGTGCAGCGTTAGAGGAAACAACATTTTACTATCAGCTGTTATTTGCTCACGGTATCGGCCGATCTTTTGCTTTAGGCGGCTGTAGAAGTGGGTTGTGGGATATTTATCTCAAAGCGGTTTATAGAGCTGTGCAGGCTGACTAGAGAGCTCAAGAACAAGAAAAAGACTAACAATGACTTCATAGCTCAGTTATTATAGAAATGCTATTTATATAAAATATGACTTAACTGACTTCCATCAAGAAGTTTAAATTTTATTTCCTAATTTAACACCTTGAAATTACATCTCTGTCTCTCTAAAAACTCTTGTTCTTTCTGAAGCTCCACCTCCAGGAAGTCATCCCAACATGGCTCCTCTATTAACCCTTTAGCAGCATTTTCACCAGCGCTACTCTGAGGAGCAGCTCCTACAATGAGCTTAGCTCCACCAGCTGTTTGCTAATTGCGGCTGGCTAGTCTGAAGGAGCTGATAGGGGGACGAGCTGCACCTCAAAGGTGGAGCTAGGTTCACCCAGGTATTTTGTATAGCTGAGCAGTTGCCGTGGAGATTAAATGGTCAAGGCAACAGTCCAGCTATGTCTTTGATGAGGGAATAACATCATAACATGACGGAAAGCTAAAAAAAATCCTTTTTTAAATTATTTTAAATTATACTGCTTCTTTAAGAACTTTCAAAACAGAGGAATTTCTTGAGTGAACAATTAAGTGTAAGGAAAATTTTTTATTCCTTTAGGATGGGAACTAAACCCATAATAACCGAATCCTAAACCATTTTCAGCTGGAGAAAAAAATAAAATAAGATGACTATTTGGCTAATTTTAGTCTCTCTCTCTCTCTATATATATATATGTCATTTCATTTTATTTTTTTCTAGGCCTGTACTTTTGTCTTAACCTGGCATAACAGATTATGTGAGTGTTTAAGAGGAACATTTGGTGTGAAACTGTTGTCTGAAACAGGAAGAGGATTCCTGCGTTATCCGTGTTCCTCTAAGTAAAGGTGCAGAGCGGATCAACGGTGTTGTTAATAAAGTAGCCAGACTTCAGCAGTGAGCTCTTAGTATATCCACAGATCCCTTGTTTTAAAGTCAAGTCGCATTTCTTGAATTATGTCAGCAGAGTGTTCAGTATGCTCCAAGTGCGACAAATGAGCACCTGTGTTAACAGCTTATCGGCCTCATAAATCACTCAGTGTTTTACATTTAATTATGCTGCTGTTCATGTTCAGTCTACTAAAACTGGCTTAAATTGAGTAAAGTGATCACGACTTGAAAAAACCTGCAAGAATCACAGAAACGTCATAAGTTTGGTGTTTCAGCTTACCGTAGACATAGAGGACGTAGTCATCGAAGGACTCGCCCAGCGGGTTGGAAGCCACACAGCGGTACGTCCCGTTGTACGACTTGTTCAGATTCTCGATGTAGAGATCGCCGCCGGTGATGACCGCGTGGGTCGGGACGTCGTCATCCACCTTCAGCCAGTTGACCCGCTGCGGCCTGGAACAGCAACGTCAGGAAACAGTGAGGACAAAGAGACGCAGGAGGTCCTCAACCACCGGCCTGGATGCAAAACGGCCGCTAAACCGAAGAAGGTTGTTGAATAAACTGTGGAAAGGAGCCGACATTTGAAGAAGCTAGGGACAAAAAACGCCTGCAAAGACTTAAAAATTCCTCTGAAACAGTCGAGTTGGCACCAATTTTGATAGATTTTCATTCATCAAAAACATAACTGGAGAGTTGCTTTGATTCTTTCATGCATGTTTGAGAAATCCATACCAACAAGTCAACACTATACTGCTGTTAGTGTGTAACATACACTGCAAAAACACTAAATCTTACCAAGTATTTTTGGTTTAGTTTCTAATGCAAACATCTTAGAGCACCTAAAATAAGACAAAACGAACTTAGTGAGAAATTTCTAGTTTTCAAATTAACATATAACAAGATATGTTTGACATGTTGTAAGTAAAATAGAATTTATTGATGGAACCCTGATGATGGGCAAAAAGTTTAGTTTTCCTTTCTATTGCTACAGTTTTCCAAAATATGTCTATTCCAAACACAGTTTTGATAAACTGTAAAAAGAGTTTGGTTATTATGGAGGCTAATGAATTTAAATCTAATTGTTTCATTGTGTGAAATGAATGCAACTAATTGCAGCAGCTTTGTCTTGCATTGATATTTTTACCTGCGTAGGTGGGCATCAGCCTTTGTTCTGGTTTCCTCTTGAATAGCAGGGTGGTTTATTCCATTTTTATGACAATAAGCTCCAAGTACCCTGAGTAGCAGCAGGTTGGGGAGGGGGGCCGGAGACAAAAAAACATCTCCATTTGGCTGCAGCAGCTTTCAGAGGCCGCTGCCAGCTCCCGTTATTTCCCCCGAGCGTGCGCTGATGGCCTCTCTTGTTGCATTTTGCTGCGCCGTTTTAAGTTGCTTCCCTCCCTTTGAAACCAAATTTGGTGGGGATCAAGCACACAAATCGAAGAAGTGGAGAAAAAAATAAAAATAGAAGACGAAGAGGAAAAAATTCAACCCAAAAAAGAATCTGAAGCAAAACAAGCAAAGCCCAAGTGTGTTTAATGGCCGATAGAAGAAAAGTAAACAAAAATATAAGTTCTGACGGGGTGGATATTCTATAGGTGGATTGGATGTTGTGAGAGAAGCTGAAATGAATTCAGTGGAGGCTGATAGTCAGAGATAGACCAAAGAGGTAAGATGGGGATGCAAGGAGAGAGGAAGGGCAGGCGTCTGGAATACAAATGGCCGCCTGCAGCCGGGCGCGGCGGCGCTATCTGCTGTAATGACTACACAACTCTCAGCAGCTCTAATGAAAATGACTTCCAATTCCCGGCTCACTGTATTGATTGTGTTTTCATCTTTAGAAAATGAATACAGGGAGCGCTTCTCTCGATGCCAAGTTTGAAAACCGTGGGGGTCGGTGGGGTTGGGGTGTGTGCTGGTGTGTGTGTCGGGGCACATGGTGTTTTGATCTGTGTGTTTTGTGTCTGTGTGTTCATGTTGTGTCCCGCTTTAGCAGATCATAGAATAAAAACCGGCCCTGGCAGCTCCAGATTAGGATGTCTGGATCAGCTGAATTTCCCTTCGCCGCGTCCTGCTCACCTGGACTGTAACTGATTAAAAATTATTATGAGGAGTTTTTATTTTTAAAAAAATACATAGATTAAAAAAAATATGAATGTTTTTTTTTGTCCTCATTCAAAAGAGGTTTAAACATTTGAAGCTTTGCTTACAAATATTTTAATGCAGTGATGCCCAAACTTTTTTTTTCAAGCTAAAAATGCTAAATACCATTTTGTTGAATTATTGTACTTTTACCTGCTCCGCAACAAATTAACATGTATTTTAATTACAAAGGTCCAAAAAAAAAAGAAAAAAAGAGTCTCAGTTGTACAGTCTTTTACTTGTTGGTCAGGATACCAGTTTTATTTTATTCCTAGCAAAACAACTGTCCTGAGAACTGTCCTCGAAAACCCTTTAGTGGATTTAGCCCAGTTTAATTATTGGGTCTGTTTTTGAGCAAAACGTCACTGGGCATTTCTGGCTCTGCTCACTACGGCAAAACTAAAAAACGAGATAGACCAAAAAGGTAAGATGGGGATGCTAGGAGAGAGGAAGGGCAAAAGAGAAAAAGTCACTTATTGTTTTCAATAACAAGTAAATTTGTTACTGAAAATTTTATATAAAGAAAAGCATAAAAATCTCCATCTGCTTTTCCTGCTTAGTTATTGAATAAACACATCTACTTATTCAATAATTTAAAGGAGGTTCTGAACTGAAATTGTTGCTTATTTTGTTGATAAATGAACACAGAGCAGAATCCCCGCAGCATAATGCTGCCTCATCCTGGCGCCAACACTTTTTAATCAAATAATCGTTTTTTGGCAAATTTATTTTCAGAATGTCCAATTGTGCAATTATATATTAAATGGGATCTGTAAAAAGTACTCCAGTTTCTTAATTGGCAATAAATGCACAACTTCATTACTGGGATCAACTGGAGTTATTGGATGATTAGATTAAGTTGTTCTTATTTTATAAATTGCCTTGAAATGACATTTAAAACCAACAGAAGCAATAACTTCTCTGTGTTTTTCTGTTTGCTGCAGTTCCCCTCTCATTAGGTCACTTTCCTATAACACTCACAACTCCACCATCATCCAATGATTGTTTTGTTCTGTTTAGATCTGAGCGGCCTTGTCAACAAATTAACAGGAGCGACACAAACGCTGCCAACTATACGGAGGCCTCAACCGTCCAGCGGGACTTCTGCCCGAGGCGCTCGCTCTTTTATTCTTCCCGGTTCGCTAATGGCTGTATTTGCACTCCATTACATCTCCTATCACACAGACGTGTCATCTGAGCAAACCAACACCTGTGTTCACCACTGATACGTACGGAATGGCTGCCTAATGAGAGACGGGCAGGAGCTTCACACCGACAGATATTTGCAGGAATCAATTATCACCAATAAAAACTTACGTTGGAAACGTAAGCTTCCAACGTGAAGGGGAAAAAAAAAAAAAAAAAAAAAACGAAGAAGATTCTACTGTTTCTGCTACAACTCAACATTTAACTGCATTATCAACACAGTTGCTGATTTTTCTTATGGCTGTCACATTGAAGAAGTTATTTTTTGATCAATATGGATGCTGAATGCTTATAAAGCTGCAGAGAGTACATTAACTGTGTAATTGACAATTTTTAAGTTGCAATTTTTTTCCTTTAAAATGAAAATACGCTCACATTTGGAAAGACCAAAAGCTTCTATAATAATTAGTGAATACCAGCAATAATTATTTATTTTTATAGGAATGAATGATATATTGGCACTAACGTCAGTACCGGTCAATATTAGTCATTTTGAATATATCGGAATCAGTTCAATAATTTATTTATCTTTATCTGGTTGCCGTTTGTTTCTGGGCTCTTCTTTTTTTCCCAACGGTTTCCAAATGGTAATAAAATATTTGTACGATTGACAAATATTGGTTATCATAGCAACAATATTATATCTGCTAAATAATGCAAATCTAAAATCAAACCAGATTTTTTGTCAGGTTCTTTCTGTTAAATAGAAGTTGTTCATTTCAACTGTCGCCACGTGCTTCTCCATGTGAGGGATTGCTGTGATGCCAACAGCTTGATGTAGTTTTCTGGAGACTGTCGCAAAGTGTTTGGTAAGAAGGAGGGATCTGTGTTTGGTTATTAACTGTGTTTGCATCAACAGCTTTAAGCACATTTTGAAGTATCGCTTCATAAAACATTAATGGAAATGGCAGAATTAAAAAAATAAACTGGTCTGTACACTTACTTAAGTTGGTTTTTGACATTTCTGAAAAAGAGTTGGTGCTCTAAAAGGCAGAATAAGTTCTGAAATGGCAAACTCTGTCTTAGAAGAGGCACAAACTCAAAAAGGTTTTTATGTGAAAACTTCCAGCTTGGAGCCTTGCTCCGTTTCTCTGACAAGTATGATCCCTGCTGCTGAGAGGTAGCATGGTTGCTAACTAGCTGCAGTTGCTAACTAGTTAGGTTGCTAATCGTTCACACGACATATGACTTAAAAATAAACAAGAGTCAGATTTACAAATCTTTAAATCCTATTTTTTGGTTTTAAAGTTTTTTCTGCAACAGGAAGTCCAAGTACACTCAATATTTATTTGGAATTGCTTGAGGTGTTAGTAATTGGAACTAAACAAAACTAAATTAATATGAAAATATACCAGATGGGAACATGCTGTATGCCTGCAATTATCAAAGAGAAGAAACTGAACTAAACTACAAACCACTTCATGAATGCTTGCTTGATGTGATTAACCGTCAAAACAAAGAGCTTTACTGTAACTTTATCAACAAAATGACATAGGTTATCAATAATTAATTGAACAGCAACATAATTTTATGGTATAAATACAGTGTTGATAGTTGAACTAATTAAAAACAAGTTTAGTAAAAGCCACCACTAGTTTAGCAAACAATATTTAATTCATGAAAGCAACAACTCTTAATTGGGATGTAATTTACACAAATATACATAAATGTGTGAAGACTTTCCCAGAAATACATGCATAATATCTCATTAAAATGTGGGCAAACGTTTGCTGCATCGCGCTCTTTTAGGAGCATCAAATGGACATTAAAACTGTAACTTTTGCATATCTTTTACAAGTTGAGGTTGCATGGCAAAAAATATAAGACCCTTATTCCATGCAGGGTTGAAAAACAAAAAGTGAAGCTTCAGAGGCTGTCAATAAACTCAATAAATGACGATGAAGCAGGAAAATTAGGCAGCAAATGCGAAGAAATAACAGAAAATGCAGTGGAGCAGCAGAGTGAAGCAGACAGTTTAGAGCTGGGTATTAAGGCCAGCATGTGATAGATTCTCACTCAGTAGACCCAGAGGAACAGAGGAAATATTTTATCTCCTTTATGAGCTGCTACAGATACTGTACGTACTGAGCAGCTGCGTGCTGAGTTATTTAATATTAACTGCTTCCTATAAAGAGAGGAAAAAAATTATTTCCTTCCCGAGTCGGAGAATGATTCAGCACTGGCACGCAGAAGTATGTCAGAGAAATAACTCAAGGTAAAACACAGAAAACTTCTCACTGTGCTCCTCGGAAAAAATCTTTATTTTATGGCGTCATTTTTAGTTAAACGGCTACTGCCTTGAGGTTTTTCAGATGAGAAGAAAACCGTCCCTGACTTCAACAAGAAAGAGGAAAATAAAGCTTAATAAATAAAGCTTAGCTTGAACAATTTATGCAGCCTGATATGACTTTGCTGCGAGTTATTTAAACACCGTATTAAGATCAATGTGCTTCATACTTCATAATGAATTAAACTACATTCAGTTCTTTCAATGGAGAATTTCACTGAGACAAAGCTGAACCGTTTTTATGTCAAAACGTGGTTACGATGATGTCACCGGATGTACAGGTTGTGCCAATGACTCCTTTTCTTCAGCCAATCAAATCCAAGCTCCATGTTTCGTTGGTGGTTTTCAGTTCTCATCTCAGATCATCTGAGATCCGGCAGAGACCCTGCAGCCCAGAGCAGTGGCGCTCCCAAGGGGTTGATGGAAGGGGCCGTAGGCCCCCTGGGAAAATGCTGATTGGTTGAAAAAAGTGCCGAAAAGTGACTTACTGGGGTTTGCCTTTGGCTTGACACGTCAGCTCCAGGTTTTCTCCTTCTCTTGTCAAACCCTGAGGAAATTCCACCACAATCTTTACCTCTGGTTTGTCTGAAACAATGAGAGAAAAACAAGAAAAGATTGTATGACTCAGAAGAAAAAGACATAGGAAGGGGAAAGACAGACCCGCAAGGTCTGATAGCTCCAAAAAGCATCCTTTATGTACAGTACAAACAAAAATAAATCAAATTATGCAAAGTCAAACCAAAATTCTTGTGTTGAGCAAGACACCAAGACAATTGAGCCCTGGAGACAAAGATAAGCTGCATTTCTATTTACCAAAAAAAAAAATCAAATAAATAATTCATAATTAGAATTATAAAGACAAATTAAAAAAAAAAGTTTTTGCCCTGCAGAGGTGTTTATTTATTTCACAAAATTACAATGGAAACATTTTTCCACATCATACAAGTCATTGGTGGTCAAAATCAAAGAAGGTTTAAGAGCAAGATGATGCTGCATGTTTTTTAACTTAAAAAACATTATTCACATGTGATTTTAATTTTGTTTCCTGTTTAATAGAAACATTGTAATCGCAAAATTGTTTTGTTTTTTTTTCTTTTTCAAAAATAATTGCAAAAAAAGTTGTTTTTTTTAGCAGAATATCGACAAAGTTTTGGTTTTAGGTCAAAATCAAAGAGGATGGAGAATCTGAATCCTCAAAAGATGAAAAGCAAAATGAGGAAGCCAGTCTAGCGGAACTGACTGCTAACGTTTAGCGCAGTGCTAAAGGGAAATGTAAGGAGCAGAATGTGTGGAAAAGCTGCGGCTTCAAGCAAACAGCAAGTAATCTGAGGTTCCCAACAGACACAACAAAAGATGCAACAATCAGAGCAACATCCATGACTCGCCTCGGCTGCGTTTCAGTGAGAGGCGGTCAATTTTATGCTGCTCAAAGGAACCTTTATTGACAAACCTACAAAAACAACAAGCAGCACCAGCTTAGCCCCGGTGGAATTAGCTTGACATAAACAATAAAATTACATTCAAGGCGTTTCTCCTTTCCACTTCCTGCTCTCTGAACCGTACATCTCGACTGTTCTGGAGCTGCATCCTAAACGGATTCTACATGAACCGCGAACCAAAGCAATGTTATAAACCTTCAGGGGTCCAAATGTTAGCTGGGCCGCACCAGAAGTCAACCTGCAAACGGGAACAGGAAACGTTCCACCAGAAAACAGAAGGTGGCGCTTCAGAGCCAGAGAAACTTAAACTGGGACATATTATATTGGGAAAAGGAGCAAACAAGAAGATGTTCTAATCTAACCAGAACTTAAACCTCATTTTGGAAAGTTCATATGTGATTCCATCCAATAGATGGAGCGGCCAATAAATCCAAAGCTAAACTGCAAACATTCCAGGGTGACATGCCTCTTATTTAAGATATTCCAAACAAAATGCTCTTTTCTGTTAATGCACTAAACACTCCATCATTATAAATCAAGCACACTTAGAAAGAAATAAAGTGGAAAGTGAAAAGACAAAAACCCTACTTTTCTCCTGTCGTTAAATGCACCACCTTAAGTTTCTACTTCACAAACGTAACACTCTTCAGTCTGAAGTTGTTACACTGAAATGTAGCTGTTTTCAGCCTCAGGAAGCAGCTTCAGGTGAAGACAAAGGAAGCAGAAAATTTGTAAGACGTTTCTGAGCAACAAAGAGAGGAACTTCTACAGATTTTGGTTTTCTTGCTTCTTGCACATTACGCATTATGGGAGCATTTGGAAATGTTGGTAGTCTCAGAGTAAAACCATAGGATGCTAACTGCTAGCATAAGGTGCTAACAGCAGCTTCTATAATTGATCTGTTTTTGTCTTTAGAACCAGTTTACTGCAGAGCTGTGTAGCACTGACTGCTCTCTCGTGCACACTGTGTGACATCGCCTCTGCTGACGATATAAATAAGAAATGATCGTGCTAAGAAATGATCGCCATCCCATGAAGGCGACATCCTGCAGAAAGAGAAGAGATATTTCTTCTTCTTCTTTAATGTTTTTTTAATGTAAATAACTTTTGAGTTGCCTTGTCGCTAAAATGCCTCGTCAAAGTCCAGACCCAAATCCAACCAATAATCTGTGTCCATCTGAGTGACTTCATGCTGTTTTCTGAAGAACGGACCAAAGATTTGGTCTGTAGATGTTCAGAGATGGTAAAAACAAACCCCAGAAGAACATGGATCATTCTGTCCCACTTGCGTTGTGTTGGTTCAAATCCACTGGAGTCTGGGTTTGGTGACGAGTTCAGGGTGTGTCCAAACTTTTACAAAGCTCTGTAGTGGAAGTATCTTTTTTTATGATAAACACACGATGGAATAGATTTCAGATTTGATCCAGCTCTTCATAGAGAGAAAAATATCTGCATTTGATCTGAACATCTGCAGAGAGGAGGAGTCATAACTTCCTGCTGGTGATGTAAACTGTTCTTATTGTGGCCTAAATGTTCCGGTTTGATCCTGGCGTTTTTAATCAAACCTGAGCCACAGCAGTAAAGTTCCACAAAAGGCCCATCCGACCCCTTCAGCCATAAACAACAAAAGCCTGGTTGTCCGTCTGTCCGCTTCCTGGTGATGGACAGCAGGCGGGCTCGCCGCCAGCTCAGTGGGCTCGCCAGCATCCGCTCAGCAGCCCTTTGGGTTTCTCGTGCACTTCAGACTCTGAGGCAACTTTTTCCTGCTTCCACTCGTCTGACCTTGTCGTCTCGGATCCATAAACATGAAGGACGCCCGGCGTCTCCAGGTTGCTCTTACAGCCTGTAGTTCCTTCAGTGAGTTTCTGTTGACGTGTGTTTGTGGGTTGGAAATCACAATCATGACTTATCGTGACATTCGTCGTTGCTTTGCATTAATTCAGGAATATCTGTGATTTGGAAAATGACACAAAAAATCTGAAGATCATCTTCACTATCACAGCTAGATAACAAGGTTTTAATAAAAAAAACATTGAGAAAGCAGGAAGTAGATCAGTTATGCTATCCTGATTTCTCTTGCAGCCTTAAAGGGCCAGTGTCATGTAAAATTTACTTTTTCTGAGCTGTCCATCATGTGATAATTTTATTCCTTTATCAAAAGCCCACTCAGAGTGTTAATTGATTCTTTCATGCATGTCTGGAAAATCCTTGAACCTCGAGTTAGTCTGTAATGTTTGTTTTGTGTGCACTAACTGGTGAATTAATTTTTTAAAATGCAGGTTTTTAACAGTCTTTTAGAAATTTATTCACACAGTATTTGCATTGAGTTTTCACAACTCAATGTTGTAGTATCATTAGTAGTAGTGATATGTTTCTAGATCTGGTTTTCTCTCAATTAAGTTGGAATCTGTGTGCTTTTTCTAATGTTACGTCATTTTCCATCCCACAAAAACACATAACCATCTTCTTTTTGCTACATTTTATGTTTGTTGTTACTTTAAATTCTAAAAATAGAAATAAAAACTCCATTAGTAGATTTATCTAAAGTTATAAGTTGTCTGTTTTTAATAGTTGTGTGATATTTTTTAGTTTTTTTGGTTGATGAGAGTAAAATGGTTCTTTTGGTTGGAAAGTACTAGTAATATGTTTTTACATCTTTCTTTTGTCATTAGGTTGGAATCAATGTGCTTTTTCATTTTTTTTTTACAAAATTTTTCATCCCACGGGAAAAAAATATGCTAAATTTATCTGCATTATAAATCTTAACTTTAAATCCTAAAGCTAGAAAGACAATTGGGATTCTTTAAAAACAACAATACATTTCCTACAGTAACTGCGTCTAGAGTTAGAAGTTGGTTGCTTTCAAAAAGCAGTGTGACATTTTGGAGTTTCATTTGGCTGGTCTGCGAGTGAAAACGTCTCCTTAGGGTGTAAAAGTTGCAGAAGTGGTGAATATTTCCGAGCGCTTGGTTGGTGGATCCTTTGTGTTCGTCCTCATCAGGTTTGTTCTTTATGGAGCGGCTGCCGCCCCCCTGCAGAGGCTTGACGTCTTTTTTTGTCTACGTGTTGTCCTTTTTGGACACCGAGGCGGTTTGATGTCGACGAACTCGCCGGGGTGGGTTCCTCTTTCACTCGCATCGCGTCAAAAGTGCGAGCGTTGCCGTTTGATCCCTGATGGATGGAGGGTGATTAGTTTTCCAGCTCAAGCTGAGAGCGACTTGCATGCAGTGAGAACAACTTTGATCAAATGTTGGGGATTCAAAGTTTAAAAAACAAACAAACTGGGAAATCAACATTCTGCCCCGAAATGAAACACATTTCTGCAAATCAAATCATAGAAACTGTTCAGTTTATATTTTATGAATATTTACAGACATAAACATAACTGGAGAAAAACTGAGGTTCCTCCAGGATTGTCCTGAATTTATAAACTCTGTTAGGAAAACATCTGGAATCTAATCCCAGGTGTTTTCAGACTGCATTGGAACCTTGTGTATCCATTCATAATTATAGAACCCCCAAAGATTTTCTGGATCAAAGATTGATATGCAATCAATCTTTTGATCACATCTCCACTGGTACATGGACTGATCTTAAATCTTCAAGAAAACTGAATTTTAAATGACTTTTCTGCTTAGGAACCCTCATGTTTATGTAATCTGACTCTGAAATCTGATGAGGTTTGATCTTCAACACATCAGGGAGTCTAATATCTTAATTTCCTTTGGCTGGTCCGTTGAGTACGACGACATACAAGAGACACAGTAAATGGAGAAAAGAGTAAACTTCCACCAAGAAACCCAAAAAGTTTAAGATTCATCAAAGTCAAACATTTTTGAAACCAGGAAATTTCCATGTTTTTCTCTAGAAAATTTCTGAAATTTATCTTAAAATGTCAAACTTCTCAAGGAAATTTTGTGACTTTTTAAATTCAGTTAAAAAAAAACAGATATTTTTCTCTCTCTGAAGATCTAAAAATTTCTGAGGTGTAGCAAATATTTGACTTATGGAGTGGAGAAATTTCCTTGGTTTTTTTCTAGAAAATTTTTAAGGTTGATCTCAATATTTCTGACATTTTTCAAGCAAACTTTTCAATTTGACATCCTAGTTTCTTCTAGAAGATTTCTGAGATTAATTTAAATAATCTGAGTATTCTCTCAAAAGATTTTTGAATTTTAAACTCAGCAATACAGAAGTTTTTCTAGAAAAATGTCTGAGATTCCATGAGTTTTTTTCCTAGCAAATGTTTTTATTTTAGGAGCTCATAAATTGTTTCCTTGTTTCTCAAGAACATTTCTGAAATGAATCTGAAATTTTCTTGTTGAAAAGTCACTCCTCTCTGAATTATTATTTTTTGCTTATAATGGCCCTAATATGCCACCATAGTTGTAGATGATGGATGCCAGTCACGTTTGGTTTGTATTTAAATGTTTCACCTCCAATAAATAAAAAAAAAAAATCAAGCTTACAATTAAAAAAAGCAAAAGGTTTGAAGTGAGAAAGACATGAAAACGGGTTTATTAAAAATCTGAACATGAGACTGAAACATAATTTTTGCCTGGTTGGTTTTCCTCTTGGTTCTGCTCTGTCTGGTTTCAACACATAAAAGGAGCCATTTTTAAAGTAAACAACGGACGGCGGTGCTGAGTATTTGGACAAAGCAACACTTATTGGCTGCAGCATTGTTACTAAAAACAAAAGCAGCGTTCAGAGCTTCTACTGTCAGAAGCTGCAGAATTAACGCTCTCTACTGCATTATGCTGCTTCCACACAACCCCTCTCTAAAAAGTGGAGCTGCTAACGCAGAGACTGCACTAAGGTGAAGTGAAAACAGCTATTTGACTGCCTTTATAACACTTATGGAAACAAAGCAGAGATAAAAACCAAGCTTTTTTCACAGCTGTAAATGTCGAAGCTGCTGGACTCACATTGCACCTCCAGGAATTTGCGCGCCAGGAAGTCCTTGACCGCGGGATGATCCACGATGCAGATGACCGGGACGCCGTCGTCCTCTTTACTGACGGCGAACGTCACCCGGCTCGTCACGGTGTACATCTTATCGTAGCTCAGCTCCACTTTGGGTTTTCCTAAAGGAAATACAGCAATACATTTAGCTCTATTTAGCTGCATATCTTTGGAGCTAAATGTTTAGCTTGCGAACAAAATAAGCATTTAGTTAGTAAACTAAATATTTAGCTCGTAACTGAATAGTGACAAAAAGCTTGGACACCATTGGTATTCTGACTGATGGATCTGTTGGTTTCCCATAACTCTGATACATCTAGTAGTAAATATTTAACAGGAAGATAATTTCTACTAAATCCAGCAGCTGATCTGGTAAATGATGTGCGACTTGTCATTTTGATTCAGGTAGATTTAACATCAGGATGAGGATCAAATCAGTGAACATAATCCTTCAGTTCATGTTTTTAGTCCTAAAATGCTTTTCAATTTAAAAACAAAGTCTCCTGCTCCAATATGGGCACAAACCTGTAGAAAGGTTTCAGAGAAGAAGGCGCAATTAGCAGAAAGTGTGAAGTTATTGGGCTGATTAATGAGCTGCCATCTTATTTCCTGCCTATCCTTCCTTTCCCCATCTGCCATCAGCTAAAAAAAAACTCTTCACAGTTGAACGACGCCGTCTTCTCCCCGCGTCGCGTTCAGACCGGTTCCTACGGGCCGAATCTACACAAATCAGAACAAGTACAGCTCAGCTGGAAGGTTTTAGGTGCTGAGTACCTGTCACTTTATTCTCCTCCCACACTGATTAATTCATCATCCTCCATCCAGATGCTAACTCAACATCCATTTGTGCTACGTAGAGATAAAATGTAGGCGCCCTCCTGTGCGCGGCGTGGAGCCCAACCCGAACGGCGCCCGGATTCTGGGACAAAGTCATTTCAAAAGATGGACGGCGGAGCTGTCAAACTGTGCAGCATCAAATATTTATCTGTTCAAGCAGAGACAATGTGAAGCAAAATGGGTTTGACTAAAACCTGAGCGCTCAACGTCCTCCAGGAAGTAGACAGAGGTGGAGGAGCTCCACGACTGCTGCTACGTCACATTTTCTCTGAAAACGTCAGTGGAGTTCTGACTGTTCCTGACAAACACCTGCAAACAGCTAACGCCAGCCAATGTTTGAAAAACATTTACTGAGCTTAGCTATTTCTTTAGCAAACAATTAATCAGAGAATTACAGAATAGTGGAAAAATAAATTAAATTAAATTTAGTAAATTTCCGCAAAAAACACTGAGACATTTTGAGATAGATTTCTGAAATGATCTAGAAATAACAAGGACATTTCAGAGTTTCAAAATGGGAAAATTTGCTTGGGATTTTTTTTTTTTTTTTAGTTTAATTTCAGAAATGTTCTGCTCAAAACGTGAAAATGTCTTAATTTCGACATTAAGACATTTTAACTTTGAAAGTCAGAAAATTTCTGGAAGTCTAAATTTTACCTTTTGAAACTCAAAAACATCCCTGTTCAATGACCTTTTGTAGGAAAGAGGTAAGAAATGTGCAAAATCTACATTACATCCCTGGAACACCAACACACGCTTTCCCCTGATTGCTGTTTTATCTGTTTGTGTGGACTTCCTGCCGGGGCAGAGCGGGGTTATTGAAATCGCCCTGTGGTTGTCTCTCAGCTCTGCAGTCTAATGGCTCCTCGGCTCCCTGTCAGTCAATAAAAAACCTTATTTCTGTCGGCCTTGAAAGAGCAGGAGGAAACGACCCGGGCAGCGAGGACTGCTGGTTTTATGCGACTTTCTCCGTATTGTTAGTGCAAAGAGTCGGGATATAAATCACAGAAACTAACAGGATAAAAGGGGAAGGATATAAATAAGATCTGTGGATATAGAAACAGATGATTGGATTGGATCGTTATCTGCAGAACATTTCACTGAAACATGAGTCAGAATTAGAGGAATTAGACTGAATACTTCGGCCATTTAATTGGAAAATGAGTCTGAAAGGAGCATCTTTAGAAATATTTAGTCAGTGTGAGGAAACCAGATATTTATATATAAAAGAGATATAACATCTTGTTTCTCAATAAATATCCGCAAAACCTTGTCAAAATTCTGCTTCAGTCGAAAAAAAAAAACACAATTACAGACCCAAATATCAGCATTTATTCCATCCATACATTGTCTAACACCCTTGTGTTAGAAACAACTAAACAATTAAAATCACAAATCAATAAGTTTTGCTCAGGCCTTAAGTTTTTGGCTGTGACTCCACTCACCATATAATAGCTTAATATGACATTTTGAAAATGAATTTGCTTTATGGAAACAAAAGTATTTTTAAAAACTCCAGTTTTTTTGGGAGAAAATGTTTCAGCGCTACGATGAAGTGTTTTTTTTTCTTTTTAGGCCGTATTGAAATTGGTTTATCTTGCAAAACGTCAATGAAAACACTGATCACGTGATCAACAAACCAACTTGACTGGAGTAAAAACCACGAAGAAGATGAAGACAGGAAGTAGTCAGAGGATTAGGAGCAGTATGTATTTTAATGACTTTACCAACATTTTAATGGAAACATTGCAACTACATAATTGAATTTGACAAAGTTTTGCACTCATATGTAAAGGAAATGCAGCTATCAAAAAACGCGCTGTGCCGCCAAGAAACTACTTCCTGTCGCCTTCTTCCTTTCCCCCAGTAAACAATCCGCTTGTTGATCATGTGACACGCGTGATGCGAAAAAACGGATTCCATTGCAGTTTTGTGAAATAAACCAATTTCAACTAACTTTTTTTATCAAAAATCAAGAGGTTTTTTTTAGAAATTGGTGTATTTCCATTAAGCAATTGAATTTTCTAAATGTCGAAATGTGCAATTAGTCAGTGGTCTGAATTCCAACTAAACCTTACGTGTTTTGAGTTGAACAGGGTTAAAGAGAAGTTTAGTTTTTTTCTTGAATTCAGCACTTTCAGTTTTTTCAGTGTTTGGGAGAATTGGTTTTGAAACTGTCCGACGCGGGTCGAGCGTTCTGCATTTCTTCAGAAATATACTTTTGGGAGATTCCAAAGCAGATTCTTTCAGATTCTGTGAGTGGCTTTCTCACAGTAATTAGCACACAAAACTAAAAATAAATATTAGAGTGCCATTAGAGTGTTAAAAAACTCTAATGGCTGTCAGTCAGTCTTTACTGTCGGCCTGTGTGTGAACGTGTGGGGGCTGAAGGTAAATATAAAAAATAATAATAATTCAATATTTACCATTAGCCTTGGTGAACTCTTGTTGAAAGAAAGAAACTTGTTTAAAAAACGGGGGAATGAAGCATCTGAATAAGAAATCTCTATTTGACATCTGCTCCGGTCATCGGTTACCTCTTTATCCATTTAAATCCTGATAAACAACACTTTGATTCATCTGCTTACATACGATCAAAGACGTAAAATCCTGTTTTCAATTGTCTGAACATAATTACCTGTCCAAAGTGACTCTACAGACTCAGAAAATACGAGGAAAGCGTACCGTCCAGGACTTTACGGTCTCTGTAAAGTGCTTTGTGAGGTCAAAGCCACAGAAGCGTGAATCCATCTCCTCAGGGGTTTCACTGCATCACAGTCGGTTATTTTCCTCCAGCTAAAGCCTCGGCTAGCGCTAATTCTAATGTGTCAAGAAGAAGAAGACCTCATGAAGGACCAGGCGCACATGTCTCCTCAAACACGTCTACACAACTAATTTTAGACGACAACTTCCAACAAACCTATATATATATATATATAGACATACACATACACACATACATATATATAAAATAATCTTTGCATGTTCATTGGTGAAATCTGGTTAGTTGCTGCTTTAAGTCAGGAAAATTATTGTTTGATGCTCTGATGGATTCTCAGTTTAAGTAAAAACAAAGAAAAATGCAGAAAGATTCAAACTATAAAAGTTTAAGTTATACAATATATTATGATTCTTTGAACAGCTTATGGTCGGTTTATTAGCTAAATAAACCGCATTACAATTTTTGCACAAAATCATTCAGATTTTGTGCAAAAAAATCAGGAGACAATGCCTTTGTGACCTGAAAGTCAGTTCTGGTCTGGTCCTCCTCATCAGGGATTTTTTTGAGGGATCGACTTCAGCGTGTGTGCATCAAGAACTGCCTCTCTGACTCTCTAGTCCTCAACACCGGGGATCCTCAAGGATGTGTGTTATCACCTTTGCTCTTCTCCATATACACCAAGGAGCTACAGTGTCAAACTGATGACCTCTCCCTCATCAAGTATGCAGATGACATGGCTCTAGTTGCTTGCCTACGGGAAGCAGACAGCTCCCCCTACCTGCAGTATATTAACACCTTATCTGTATGGTTCGACAGCAGGTTCCTGGACCTTAATGTCTCCAAAACCAAGGAGATGTGGCTGGGAAGCAGCAAGAAGGGAGGCAATAAAGACCCGGGGCATACCTTCAGGCCAATCAGCATGAAGGGTCAGGTGGTGGAGCAGGTGACTCAGTTTAAATACCTCAGGACAGTCATAGACAGTCACCTACAGTTTCAAGATCATGTGAACTACACATTTAAAAAAGGTAGACAGCGCCTGGCTCTCCTGAGAAGACTCAGGGGCCTCAACACCAGTCAGCGCACCATGTCCATGGTCTACAAGTCCCTGACCGAGAGTGTGTTGACATTTGACATCGTGTCATGGTATGGGTATCTCGCTGTCAAACAAAAGAACAAGCTGGGAAAGAGCGTCAACCAGGCCGGAAAGATTATTGGACTTAAACAGCTGCAACTTTCCCATTTGTACATGCGGGCCCTAACAAAGAAGGCACATCGAGTCTATCTGGACCCGACTCATCCTCTTCACTGTGCTCTCCAGTTGCTGCCATCTGGACGTAGATTTAAAGTCCAATGGCAAGGAAGAATGGCTATAAGCGATCATTTCAGCTGTGGCTATTCTAAATGAAGAACTGACATTAGTAACTGAGAATAGACAGGCTTATGTGTTCCCTAAAAGTCTGCTAGAAGTATTCCACTAAGTTCTAACTTAGCGTAGAAGTTCTGTGTGCTCTTCTTAGCAGTAGTATGGTCAATTTTAAATAGTTTTTAATATTTCACTAAATGACATGGGTAGAGTAATATGACTTGATTTCACAGATCTTGTTTTATCATTTATACATACATTTATTATTTTTTCCTTTTGTGTCGACTGTGATGTGTGTTTGTGTTGTGTGTCTTTGTGCCATTACCAAAGCAAAATTTCCATTTTATGTAAGTTTAATGGACAATACAGGAGTCTAAAGTCTAAATAATGAGATTTTAGTCTGGCTTCAGCTCATTTCAGAATGGGCTGTTTTAGGCCCTCAACTTGGGTTGCTAGGTAACGGGCAGAGTTCCGTTTGGGTTGCTATGTAACGGACAGAGTTCCATTTGGGTTGCCAGGTAACGCGTAGAGTTCCGTTTGGGTTGCTAGGTAACAGGCTGGGGCAGTGTCTGCTGATTTGTGACATTACCTTGCAGACGTTTCTGAAATGAAACCAGCACCTCCATGAAGCTCAGCAACAGTCGGGAGCCTCGTCAGATCAATCTCCTCCACTGGCCTTTCTTCGCAATCCCTCTAAAGGCTAAATATGTTTTCCTTCCTCTTAACTTTCCTGCAATATACTGCAAGGCAGCAGTCCATGAACATCAAGCTTCTTCAGCAACTAAATGTTGTGATTTATCTCCTTGACTTTTTTTTTCTCAGCCTAATGCAATAACGTCCTGAGATAGAAAATTATTTTACTTTGATTAAATCATCCAGTTACTCATAAACCTTCTCAGGATATTTTATTGTACTGACACGCAGTGACCAAACGAAGCTCAAACTCATCCTCTTTCCATCTCTGCACGTGACCCTGCCGTCGCCTTGACGCCGTGGAAACGCCTGATTTCATAACCCTGATTGTGTCTGACGAGACTTTCTGAGACGTAAGTGAAAGATAATGTCTGTGCTGTGATTAGGATTCTGTCTGCAGATAAAATAATGACTCTCAGAGGCGGTTAAAGGTGACAGGACGTCCCTGTAACTGCGTTGGTTATGCACTTACACATCCAGACAGATGCACTCGCCCTAATGCACAGTCACTGATTTTTTTCTTCTTCTGTTTTTAAATAATAGGCTTTATGGGAGCAACAGTAAGCAGAGTCGGATTCGGTGCTGCAGGTGATAAAACTGCCATTTTTCAAATAGTTTTGAAATGGAGATGAAAGCAGAGGTGATGGAAAACCTCTCAGATATTTTGGGTTTGAATTTCAGCTGAAACCTGCGAGTGTCGCTTCGTCACTGAGGTCCGACGGTGTCATTTAGGAAGAGGCTTTTAAAACACAGACAGAAAGAATTTACCTGTTTTTTTCGCTTTTTTTGTTAAATTTGCATAATTTAGCTCATAAAATCATTTTAATACAATGCAAAAACACAAAATCTGACCAAGTGTTTTTGGTCTGGTTTCTTGTCCAAATATCTTAGGGCACTTGAAATAAGACAAAACATGAAATAGGAGGATGCTTAAAGTCAACAATCCTCTAATACTGATGAAAACGTGGCAGATTATTTCACTGCTATCATGGGAAAATCTTTGTCACTTGGTTCATATCGTATTGTAAAAACTTTTGTCTGCACTGCAGGTCAGTAGACGACAGAAAAGCTTCTTTTGTTGTTTGATAACATGTTGCTTTGTTGTTGTTTAAACTTCATTTTTTTGAAAATCAGACATGACATATTTATTAACATACATGAGATCATCATTTTTTACTCACTATTCAACAAATATCCCTTTCATTTAACATAAATGCTGCCTCAAACGTGATTTGTTTGGGTAAAGAAATAATTGGCACAGTGTCTGTTGTAATTTCAGACTGCAGTGGCCCCCCTAAGAAAAAACCTAGACACAAAAAACCAAGACACGCCCTGCAGGACGAATTGGTGCTGCGTTGGGGTTAATGTGACGCATTGTGAAGCCTGCAGCTCAGCTCCTGATTGGACGTTTGTTTGAAAGTCTCTGCAGAGCTGGATGCTGGCCGCTGAGGTGGAGCCGCCCAGCAGGGGGCCTGTTCCTCCCTCAGCTCGACCCGCACTTCTGAAGCGCCGCTGCCTTTGATGATGGCATGCAGGCTGTGAGGGCGCCGGGCGGCGAGCCGCGGACACCTCCACACAGCACTGAGGCTTTCATGGAAACACAAACAGGAAATGCTAACGACTCGTTCTAATGGCTGCGAAGGGAAATTAAGAAGCGTTGGCAGAAGAAGTGCTGAATCTGTTCATGTTATCGTTATTTATTGCCTGGTCCATCATGAGGACAAGCTGGTTAAACCGTAATCTACACAAAAATAAAATTACAATAGTTATTACTATATGTAAATAACCCCAAATTGACTTCTTAATTTGTTTTTATCACTCATTGGTGCTTATCGCTTTTACTTAATTTATCTAAGATTAACTTTCAGTTTTGTTGTTTGATGCTTTTATTTTGAAAATCCAATTTCCGGTCTCTGTGTTAACGAACGGCATCTTAACGAGCGTAAGATGGAAGACAAGTTGTTAGGGAGTTAATATTATGAGTTTTATTAAATGAGCGTGTTTTAAACATGGACTAAAACTGTGTATTTGTTTTATAATATGCTGTTTATTTGAGATATTTTAAGTTGCAAACATCAGTGGTTGTAGCCGTATGATGCCTTTGCTTTCACTTTGTTTTATTAAACCTGAAACTTCATCACCAAAGACCTTCATTTGCTACGTTGTCTAATATTCAAATGGAATAAAACTTAAAACACAGACTTAGACATTTAAAGTAAATTTTATAAGCATATCATCACAAGCTGAGCTTGATTTAACTAACAGATTATAATTCACATGTAATTCACTCAGCATCTCCATCAACTCTTGGCAGGAAGTTGTTGCAGTAAATCAATTCATCACATGAATTAAAACGAACTCAATGATTTTCATTCTGCAGATTAATATTGTTGAAAGAGTAATTTTGTTTAGAGTATTCAGGATTCATTTCACTTATGGCTTCGGCTTTGTGGGGTTTTTTTATTTCCGCTTTTATTTGTTGTTTTTGGTTGTTGTATTTTATTTTGGATATTTAAAATATCTCACAGTTACGGTGTAAAATTTTTTATCAAAATCAAAGTGGGCACATCTGCATTGTAATGTCATCTAAGCATTACCTGAAAATGTTATCAAAACAACAATATTATTGTTTATCGCAATAATTACTGGGACAATTTATAATGCAGCAAACTTTTTTATTGTCACAGGCATAATTTCCCTTTCGGATTAATAAAGTATTTCTGATTTTTTAGTTATTACTGTCTGTCTATTTTATAAGTTTGTATTTTCTTATCATTTTTTACTGTAATGTACCTATTGTCAAAAATAAAAGGAACTAAATGCCTCACTAAATAACAGCTGATTTTGAACAAAACTAAGAAGACTAAGTAGAACATCATGGCGTGAACAGCACTGTGACATCATATGGCGATGATGTCACACCAGTTCCTTTGATGTTAAAGTCATCTCTGAAGTCTCATTGCGGTTTGTCGAACCACCAAAAGCGACTGTTCTTTTCCACGTCTGAGATCGGACCATTTTTAAGGAAAAAATGGCAAATTATCCTCATCCAGAGCTGGTGGAATTCAAACTTTCCACCAACGAGGTAGTCGAGTGCAAGCCGGACGTCTTCGTGCTGAAACTGGAGCTGGACACGCTGGGGGAGAACCTGAGCCTGAAGACAGACAGCGACCCCAAGATGATCGTGACGGAGTCTAAGGACCAGAACGACTCAATCTCTATGAACGTGATGATGATGCTGGATCACACAGCTATCGACACAAACAGTTCCCTAGACGAGTTTGACGAGGATGACATCAGTTACTCTCTTACTATGGCAGGACAGGCCAATACTTTGGGAGAACTTGAATCTGTAGTAGGAACGTGTGAAGAGATCGAGTCGATTCTGCACAGGGAGCTGGAAGTGGTCAGAACTTCCAACAAGGAAATCAGCTCCAAGTTGAAAACCGACGTTGTGAGCCTGCAACAACAGCTGCAAACGCTGCAGGAGAACGTCAACAACTTGACAGCAGAGAGGAATGAGTTCCAGCAGGAGATCAAGACCCTCAGACAAAAATGCAACGACAATGAAGGCAGGTATAAAACCGAGCTGGAGAACCTGAAGAAGGAGCTTCAGAACCAGGCGGCGCTGAACGATCAGCTGCATGTAAAGATAAAAGAGATCAACGACAAGGCCATTCAAATCGAGGTGGAAGTCAAGCGGAAGAAAAAGAAGGGTCTCTGTGCCTGTCTGAGCTAGAAATGGAAATGAAAGGAACTATATCACAGGCTGCATTTGGGACTGGGATTTTTTTGTTTCATAATCTTTACTAGATTAGATAGAAATATTTCTAAAATGTATATTTTCTGTGTGTGTTTGTGTAAGTGTCTGGGTTTGTGTGTGATGGAGTGACAGAGACTGTGAAAGACCCCATATTTAAAAATACTTGGTAGCATTGTTAGCATAGCAGCATGCTAGCATGGGTTTTCCCGGGGACCCGGGATTCACCCACCTAGACCAAAGATATGTCTTTCCAGTTAATAGAGTGTGTGTTTGTGTGTGTGTGTGTGTGCATGAGTGAGTGTTGGTGTGAATGTTTCCTCTCTGCAGAGTCGCCACCTTGTCGTGGTGGAGAGGCTTGCGTGCACCTAAGATCGTGACAGCGATGAGTTATTTAGCAAAACTCCAGGTACTTTCACTCTGAGCAGAAACAAGGTGCCAAACAAAGAGCGACTCAAAAGAGACTCCTGCAGGCTGCCGGAGAAACTACGACAAGCTGTTTATGTTCAAAACCTCTGGTATACAACTTTTATTTACACATTTATGATCAATCAACAAAACCGCCGACACGTTCAAACTATTGAAACATGAGACTTTTAAAATTCCATTTGAATCTCTGTGTACCATTATATTATAGTGCTTTTTAATAATAATAAAAAAACAAACACTATTTTATTTTAATACTACTTTATTACATCCTTTTTGGTGTGCTAAATTTGTCTGTGTTGTTTTTTCAGTAGTAGAATCAATTGTAGTAAGAAAACTTGAATTAAATTAGGAAAAATGCTAATATTAGCTAAATTGTTAATTTTAACATGAGTGTTGACTGGGATTAAATTACTGCATCTAAAATATAAAAAAACAACATACTCTAAAATTGGCTATTGCTATTCTGTTCATAGCTAAAATGCTGGCTAGCATTCGCTTAATCCATCTAGTATGGAGACATGCTACAATTTGCTAAAAAAATTTTATTAACTAAAACTTTAGTCTAACATTCACTTTCTCCTATCGTATTAATAGTGTATAAACCAGAGATAATTAAAATGTCAATGTTAGCTAAAATGCTAATAGTCGCATGAGAACTATCACCTGAATGGATACTAACTCCATGGTTCATGCTAACAGATATCAACTAAGTTGAGTTTTCAACATGTCAACATTCATCTAGTCCATCTGGTATTAAAATAGTAGAGTTTAAAGGTAAAATTGGATCAAATGCTAATCCTAGCTAAAGTGCTGAAGGCTGCATGTAACATTGACTTCTTACAACAAGTTTGAGCACAGTCAAGCTTCTGAAATATCCTACAAAGCTTATATGAGACAATATACCAGCAATAATAATCTGGGCTAACATTAGCATGTTGACTAACATTAACCTAATTCATGTCGTATGCTAGCTGCTGTGTATAAGCTACAATTAGCTAAAATGCTAATCTTAGCTAAAATGCTAAAGTTAGCACAGTTGCTGTCACGACCATATTGATGAACATTACAATTCACTCAAAGGACGATAATAGTTTGTCATCTAAATTGACCGCGAATAAAATAGCTAGATGCTAACAGTAGCATGAATAATGCCCCTGGCATGAATACCAACATTAACTTAGTACATTCACTATATAAGCTAAAATGTAACCTAAATACATTGGCTAACGATAGCAAGTTAACTAGAAATAACCTACATCTATAATGCCTATATTATAAGTATTATAGTATGTTTATAATGTAGTAGACAAAAAAGAAAACTACAGAAACTCAGTGTCAATCCCTAAAGCATTCACACAATAAAACTCTATTTGCTGGCTGTTTGAGATTGTGTCCAGATACATATGATATTAGCCTGAAGCAGTGATGATGTGTTTTCACCCCCACCTTTCAGCTCCTTATCTCCCTTCATCCATCTGATGGTGGCTGCAGGCTTGCTGCTCATGGCGGTGCAGGTCATCTCCGTCTCGTTGCCCTCGCTCAGCACCTCATCCTTGGACTCAATGACCGGGTTACCTGGAGGAACTGGGACGGGACAAAGTGAACAGACGTTGTTTCCACAAACTCACACCACAGTTAAATTTGGAGGAATCATGAGACGTGGTATCCTTTCAATTCTCCTGCTACCTAAAATGCTAACATTAGCGTGTTCGCTAGTGTTGTTAAAACACCAGATCTTATTCCATGATTCCTCCATTATTTGGATGGATCATGTGATATGTAGTCTGTGCAAAATTCTCCTGCTACCTAAAATGGAACGTTAGCTTGTTAGCTGACAGAGTTAAAATGATTCCTCCATCATTTGGAGGAATCATGGGATACATAGTATGTTTATCTTCTCTTATGGTTTTGTTGTTTTGTTTGTATTCCCTCTAATTCATTTAAAACACTTTAAATTGCCTTGTTGCTGAATATATGCTATATAAATGAAATTACCTTACCTAGAATATTAACGTTAGCATGTTAGCTTGTGGAGTTAATACTCCAGATCTAATCCCACAGACCCTCCACAGATCATGATCATGATTCCTCCAAACTCTAGAGGAATCATGGGATACGTAGCATGTTTAACATTCTACTGTTAGCTAAAATGCTAACAATAGCATGTTAACTAGTATCATTAATACTCCAGCTCTAATCCTATGTTTCCCCCAAGATTTGGAGGAATGGTTGGATAGGTAGTTGCCTGTATAAGCTGATCCAGTGGACCGGCAGAGCGGCGCCGCTCTTTAACAAGCGTGTCGGCAGAAACTCCTGATGACAGCTGACCTTTCGAGTCACTCAGAACGCCACAAACAGGAACAGGTCTGATCATCAGAGTACACGCTCAGGGGTCACTCTGAGGTTTGTGTGTGAAATCTGAACCGTCTCAGTCAAACACTCCCAGCCTGAACACAAAAGACTTTCTGAGGGTCAAACTGTCATTATGCAACAGCTGACTGGTTCACGTCAGGAGGGAATCATCTGCAGATTAAACAGCGACAAAAACAAATGGATTTCATGTTAATCAAGCAGGCATATAAATAAGGAGTATAAGAAGTACGATTTGCCACCTCTTTTTCAGATATTAAATTAAAAGTTGTGTTTATTTGATTTAATTTTCTGCTTTTTCTGGAGTCGTTATTCATCATTTCCATTGATGAATGAATTCGGGTCGTTAGCTAAAAGGATTTGAATGAGATTTTCTGTGAGATCCTCTTTTTATGTCTGAGTTTAGGTCAGAGTCAGATTCAGGGAAGTTCTGGTTTAAAACTTTTCCACGGTACTGAAGGTGAGTATGAAGGAACCACGTAAAGCGATCCGACTCACTGCTTCACAAAATACCAGGAAAACTCAAGTTCCTTCATGAACAACAGATTTAATCATATCTCGGATCAGATTTGGTATTTAATTAAGATGTGTTGTATTTAAATGGGGTCATGACGTGGAGAAACCATCACTTTTACTCCAACGTGCGACCTCGTTATTGCTCCTTTCAAGCATTTAAACACCAAACAATGAAGGCAGTGCATGCAGTCACGTTGTTTTCTGTTTTCCATGTGAATGCACTTTATGTCGAAGCGTGATTAGAGGCTTTACCTCCCGCCGACCTGTAACTCTGAGCGGCAGTGTGTTCGTGTGCTGAAAGCGTGTGTTTTGGCAGTGTGTGTGTGTGTGTGTGTGTGTGTGTGTGTGTGTGTGTGTGTGTGTGTGTGTGTGTGTGAGTGCTTTGATGTTGTACTTAGCACTGTGATGTCGGCGTAGGCTTCCTGCGGGGGGTCTGTGTAGAGCTGGCAAACATATCGACCCTCGTCTGACAGAGAGACATTAGACAGCGACACCCGTAGCTCGTTGTCTGAGAAGTTCACCAGCTGAAAGCGCGCGTCTTTCAGAGCTGAAAGAAAAATTTAAAAAAATTAAAAATAAATTAAATATGTAGCAGAGATTGAGGTTTTATAAACTCCAGTGTGACGATTTGATCTCAAAAACCAATGGAAAAGCAGGGAAATTGACAGGATTATTAAAGAAATGCAAAAGTTAATCAAGGAATGTGAAATAATGCAACTTGCTATAATTACCTTAATATTAAAGGTATCGAGAAAGAAATTAAAATACACAAAATGCCAGTTCTTGTCAGTTTCCAAACAAAAATGTTAATTTTGTTTAATAATTCAATCAATCAACAGAAACAAATAAAAAGTGGTAGATATACATTGGGAGATTTTATTTATTTTTTTTATTAATTAAAGATAAACAGGCATAACCACTAACTTGACAGATGGATGAATACATTATTTAACAACAAAACCACATTGTAAAAAAGTCATTGATGATCTTTATGGACCCGACATTTAAAATGTTCTGATAATTTAGGCAATCCAGACTACCAGCTTTACTTGAATGCACCACAAAGACACACTGTTTGTGGAATCATCTCTGAATATTTTTGACACCAGTTCGTTAGCAAGAAAATAAAATCAGAGTTTGACTTTTCTTCAAATTTCTGACTTTATGGTAATTTTCTTTCCTTTGATTTATTTTGTTTAAACAGTTTATAGGTGCAGAAATAATACATATTAAAATGACAAACAGCAACAATAGCAAAACAGAACAGGTTTCTGTGCACTTTTCCTGAATAAAGAGCAAAAGTTATATTTGACAGGAAATCGGAGCAAAATATGACTTTTGAGAAACTACAATACAAAAAAACAACATAAAATTTCAAAACTGAATCTGAAATAAAGTATTGATCTTACCATCACTCTGATACCGACTTGGTTTTGATATTATGGATATTTTGGATTGATCCGCTCTCCTCTGACTCATTTAGATACATAAATATTCAGCACATGTTCAGCTGTTGGCTTCATTTATATGTCAATTGTATTAATAATATTTAAATGACTCGACTCAATTGCACATTAGTTTTAATCAAAAGTAAAAAGTAGCCATCCAATAAATTCCTCAAGTATAAAAATGATCAAGTACTGAGTAACTGAACAAAATTTTAGTCATTTAATTTTTAAAAAGTACACCATCATTAGTCCAGTCTTTAGAGTACCAGACTAAAACATTAACTATTAATTCATTATTTTCATTTTAAAGACCAAAATAAAAATAATTAATGTAAATACCATAATTACAAAAAAACAAAAAGAGAAACTGCAGGTGTGTGTTTCAGTGTCTGGTGAATTTTTGGTTAAAACATGTTTTGTTTTTCATTCAGTGGGTAAAAAAATCCAGAAATGTTACCCAAGTAAGAGTAAAAACACAACATTACTCAAGTAAAAATAAAAACCACAGCGTAGTAAAAATGCTCCTCTTCAAAAAATTACTGGAATTACAACCAAACTCTACGATCGCTTCCATTTACCTTCTGCCTGAATTTCGCCGCTGTAGCAAAATAAAAACAACATATTTGCAGTTCTACTATGATTCTCTATGCTGCATATTCAAGCAGACGCGGTTTCCATGAACAGAAGCTTCGTCCTTGGCCGCCCTTCACCAACTCAGAAGTCGTGCGGTCCCTTTCATCCCAGCTGACCCAGTTTGGCCGCCGACCTGAGCCGCTCCATCAGCTGTAATGCAGGAAGACAACATGTGGCTGCGATGAAAGCTGCCCGTCTCCCGCCGCTCTGACAGCGACTGCGGGCTCTGTGCACCCTGACCCGCTCACATCCCGACCCGCTTCCACTGGAAGTCTGAATCATTAAATGCTTCTAACAAAAAGCACCTTTCAGCAGATGTGAGGAGTCGGCGAGACTGCTGGGTCATGTCTGCACAAGAATTTCACAAATAGTGAACAGAAGGAGGTTGACGCAACGGTGTGAAGCTCCCTGCATCTGCAATTTGAGCTAAGGGTCAATTAAAACATCCTGCATTTGCACAGCAAATCTGCCTGATTTTTATTCACTTTAAAAACATACAAACAAAAAAAAACCCCAAATGAACAGAACGGCAGTTTTTATTTCAAGTCGGACTTTTCCTTCCTGGTGCAAAAGTTTAATGAAATTAATGAGATCCAAGGTCAAATCCGAGAGAAACGAGATGTATTTAGCAGCCTTCATTAAAGTTAATCAGGCAGAGAGAGAGAGAGCATCGCAGGGGAGGGTCTGCAGGTCATCGTTCATCCACGCACAACATGGAATCAAAATGTTTGACTGAGAAAGATCGCTTTATGTTCTGTCGCAATCCGCTAAAGCCGCTTCACTGAACCACCAGATTCACACAGAGATGACCGTCCTGTTAGAGGAGGAAAGCAAAAATTTTATTACAAATAAAATAAATGCTCCATAAAACATCCGGAGCCGCATCAGCATGCGTCTGAATTAATGACTTCATCATCAAAAACTTCATTTAGCTCAATGATTGATGACAGTTTTTCACATTAAACTTTTAAACCTCTGACTGCAGCACATCTTTAAAACATGTGGGGAAAACATGCAAAATGTTGTGATGCAGGATGAAGAGGTAATCACAAAAAAATAAAAAAAACGAAGTTTACAAGTTTAGCTGCCGTCTGAATGTTGCTGCTCTCTGAGTAAATCCATCGACAGATTTACAGTTCTTCTGGGAATCCCGTTGTTGATATGAGGAAGATTTTTGTTTAAGTAGAGAAATGAGAACATAGTGTGTCTTTGTGACAAGCTGCTGCTAGAAAAGTGCCTGGAAATCCATTTAAAATTGATTCTGCTACTAAGTGAAGTACAGCAGTGTTCCCTCCCTCGATTTAAATGCATTTATAAACACATTTCCTTTAGATGGCTGTAAATAATATCACCAGCAAATAAATGTTCTGAAACCCGCAACAGAAAAATACTTTTCTTCAGGAAAAGTCCTTTCCTGAAGAATATGACCTCCGCACTTAGGTATAAAGTGGCGGCATTATGCTGCGGGCTTCATTTCAGTTAGCAGTGTTGGGGTCAGAAGACAAACCATAAGTCATAAAATCCTGGAGAAACATTTCCTGTCAACCAGAATTTAAAAAAAAAAAAAAAAATTACAAAAATAGTGACGAAACATCGCCAAGGCAGCAAAAGACGACTAAAAAGAAGTGCACTAAAGCTCATGAGGTGGGCCAGCCAGCTTTCTCTCCAGATAGTCCAATCGACCCAGTTCTATTGGAACCAAAGTCTATTGGTCCTCTCTGCTCGGAGTCAACCTATCCAAACCCTTTAAGGAACCTGTTCCCCTCCTTGCCTGTGGGGGCGCTGCATCAACAACCTCTGAAGGAAACAACAAAAACCTCTGAAGACCCTGAGAGCAACTTCCTTCTTCACCAGACGGAAACAAAATGGAGGCGTCAGACTTTAGAGGCTGGACGATTTCTCTTTTGTTGTTGGCAAAAGACCACAAGTCATTTCTCTTACTAGCGCTGGGCTACCACCTTTGTTTTGTTTGGATTTACCCAGAATGCCCTGCGCTGTAGTCCACTTTCTGCTTTTGAAGCAGTTCGCACATGTATTCAAACTGAACCAGAGTTCAATTCAACCGAACCAAACAAACCGGACTTTCTAGGTTGGATTAAAGTGGACAGAACCAGGCTGCTCCTAAACCCCAAGTCCAACAGCAAATCTGTGGAGCAAAGATGTCCTGAACTATGCAGAAAAATCAAACCAAAAATGTGCACAAAATTTTTTCAGTTGTTCCCATTAAATAAGAAAAACAAATAAATTCACACATGAATTAGTTTGTTCACACAATAAGTCATTGAAAGACATGGTCCTCCCACTTCCTGTCATCTTCTTCATGGTTTTCATCAGTAGTATCATCCGGTTGTTGATTACGTGATTCGTTAGATGCAAAAAAAAAAATAAAATAAAATAATTGCATTGCAGGTTTTGTGAAGTATACTAATTTTGAGACAACCAAAAAAACTCATCTTAGCGCAAAAAACTTATCAAAACATTTACTTTTTTTTCAAAACTGTTTCCAATAAGCTAATTTATTTTCGTTATTCCAATTTGTTTGATTAAATGGTCAATGGACACAGACAAGAAACATTTAATGCTGCAAAGAAATTAGTTTGTTGAGTTTTAAATGTTGCTGGGAGATGAACTACAGGCTCCTGTCAACGCTAACCAGTCAAATCACCTGCTTTTGTTGATATTCTCTCTTTCTGCACATTGACCTGAAACTTTCACAAAAACTACAGAATGCAAATTCAGAAAAATTAGCCAAAGATCAAGCACTTTTTCTATCACACCAAAAGTCTTTTGTTCTGTTGTCATCGCCAGGTTTGTAATTAAAGTTCCCATTATCTGTTGTCCTATTCCAAACATTCAACCTCGAACAACTAAAATGGATTTTTAATCCAATCAAACGTTTGTTGTTGCAACAATTGATTTTAATCTGTTTCATCAAGACGTTTTCCTCTCCTCTCTCTAATCCCTTTATGTGTCACTTCTAAATATTGGATCATAACGCGAGCATGAGCAGAATAAATAAAAACATTTAGAAAACAAGGTCGCGGCCCGTTCAAGGTTTGGGATGAGGACGAGCGAAGACGGGCAGGGAGACGCTGCAGACGGTCCTTCGTCGTTACATCACCAGAACTCATCTCTGCCTGGGTTTTGTGTGCGTTTAAGAAAAGGTGACCTTTTGCTTCACTCGTTTCTGTCCCGGTCGCCTCCTCCTGCTCTGTCATATCTGATGACATGAGTGGGACGACAAAGATGGCCGACAAAGGAGGGACAGAGTGAGGTCTTCAGATAAGAGACATCCATCCAAACTCAGAGGTCAGGAATGTACTGATTTCTACGGCTAACAACTGTAAAGCTCATTCAAATGTGAAAAGTCTGTTTAAAAGGTGAAGCGATCAGGAGGATGTGAGCAAGTTGAAATGTGATCAGTTCAGTATTCACAGGTTTTTCTGTGAATGTAAATCCTAATCAT